ATGTCGTAAATGCACTAAGGGAAATGAGTATTCCCTTGCGGATGGAGAACTTTGGCCAAGGACACTAGAGCAGAGTGAGCATTTATCATTTCCAGTATATTCAGATATTTGCAGCTGTATAACACACTCTAATTGACAACACTCCAGAAAGCCTTTGTTTGCCACCTCATTAGCCTTACATCTGTAATCCTGTGGAGAGTCTGGTTATTCCAAATGATGCAACTGTAGGACTGTCATTTCTGCCATCCTGATAGTACAACAAATCTGCCGTAAACCCAACATGCCTTCTAAGCTAAACAATGATGAAAACATCCACATTTTCCATTATCTCACTCATGATTCAATACATAAGTTTATTTTTAATCTTTCCTGTCCCATTTTTTTTTAATTGAAGGAAAAAGAGAGGATGCTGTTGATGTTTTTGTTAAAGAAAAGCAGTTGTAAAAGAGGATGTGAGGATACTCAATGAGCAGGATACAGACTCTTAACAGATGGTGAGAAATAACTTCATACAAAAATGAGAACTTTTCCCCTTATGGAATAGTTTGCAAACTCAACACACTCCATAATTCACTATTGGTAGTGCCCAAAAATGTCAGCTTTGCATGAGGGCTCTTTTGTTGTGATTATTACTAGATAAAGTTCTGATTTAGATTTCTATTTAGATAAAGTTCTCCAAATATCATTGATTTAGATTTCTATTTGTTCTGCAACATTTTAAATGATATCATTTCTTTTTTAGTCTTGAAAATACTCATTACAATAAACTGAAAGATTTAAAATTTTAAAATAGTCTCATATTAAAAGCATCTTGGGTGTCCAGATTCTATTGCATGTTTTCTTGGGTGTCCAGATTCTATTGCATGTTTTGTCTTGTTTTCTTAACCTTTTCATCCTAAGCCCCTCAGAAACAATCTGGTGAACCTATGGAACCCCTTCTCGGAATAATTAAGCTAAATTAAAATACACAGAGTTTAAAGAAACCCAATTATATTAAAATATATTTATCAAATGTGTAAAAATAGCTAAATCTGTGATATAGAAATATGTTTTTTTATTAGTTCATTAAATAATGAACTGCAATGGTTGATCTAGGAACCCACCTGAGTCACCCTGGAAAAATCTCCCTATCTCAAGATCCTTAATTTAATCATTCAGTGTACAGGGATTAAGACCCAGATAACTTCAGAGATCATTAGCCAGCCTACCACACGGGGCTTTCTGAACTGCACTGATCCCGGGATATCTCAGCCCTCCTTCCCCTCAGGGAGGATGGCCACACTGAAATCGGACAGCCACTCTTGTAGGAGTCCTCAGGCATGAAAAAACAAACTGAGAATCACTGTCTAAGATATAACTAACACTGTCATATTTGAGCCATTATTACACATGAAACTGTAATTTTTAAACAATGAATGATCAAATCATTTCATAAGATATTCCCATAAAATATGAAACCATTGAATGAAGAATGTGTGACAAATATTAAGGCCTCTGTTCGGGGCTTTTCCCCCCAGGCTCTCTGTCCTGATAAGAGTTTCGGAGCATGTGACTCCCTAAGAGGTGAATCACAGACGTGATGTAAACATGCCCAGAGAACAGACATACCTTTAAATCTCTACCACTGATACTTAAAACACACTCAACCAAAGAGAAAGCTGTACAACACCAAGCTGAGAGAAATGCATTTCTCACCCCACTAAAAAGTAATATCACTGCTCACAATAGACAATCAAAGTCAAACTGATCCCTGATAAGTTAATGCTAAGAATTATTTAAATAACCACATTCTAATTCCAGCATTGCACATGTGTATTCTGTAAAAGGAACAAAGTAAAATAAAGTGCCCGCAGTTATACTACAACACCTGATACACTCAACATTTTTTTCACAAGGTTAGTCTCCTCTGCCCCTGGTTTTCCATCGCCTCTCCATGTTTCCCTAGCTCACTTAGCCTCTTTGTTATTCTCCAACTCTCCACACTTTGTTAGAGATACTTCGCTCCAACCATTTCTAAGATGCACTACCTGTCACTGGCTTTCCATTTCAATTGTTGATGGAACTGCGTTGGATGCAGACTTAACCCCCTGAGGACCAGACCTCTAACCAAGCAACAAGCAAAGCTTCTTTCAGGGGATTATACTGATCAAACCTCTCCAGTGGCTTCTCCTCATTCCCAGGGAGTGTTCAAACTTCCTAAAAGACAGAGAAGGCCCTCCCTAATGGGGTTCATGGCTACATCCCAAGCCATCCTTCCCCCCTCCCTGCCATTGGCATCCTAGGCCTCAGCCTCGGCCTTCCCAAAGCATGCCAGAATAACTAGTAATCCTGCACACACTTCACCGGAAATGTCCCCCACCAACTGCCAACAACTTATTCATTATTCAAAGCTCAGTTTGGAGTCAGCAGCTTAGTCAGGTTCCTCTAAAATAGCCCCTTAACTCTAGCAAATCCCTCTTGCTTTGTGTTCTTACTGTTTACACCTGTTGCTACTGAGGCACTTTTGACCCTCCATTGACATTTTACCCACAGTTCTGTGTTTTCATATTAAAATATGTTTTCATATCATATTATCATCATTTTTGTGCAGACACACCCACTCCCCAGTTCCCAGTACAATACTGGAACTTATTAGATTGCTAAGAGCTGAATACAGAATTTTGCCTTTACCTTCTCTCTGCTTTTAAACCTTACTTTGGGAAATATTAGCTGTGACTCATTTATACCTAGATCTAAGTGTCAGCTCATACACAGGGCTAGCTGCTCTCTCAGTCTATATTTCTAAATGTAAACTAAAACTGGTTCTCTCTGGTAAATAAGCTCCAGAAATTAGCAAGCGTTCATGATTGGAAGCCCTCACGTCCTGAAAACACACCTTAAAGGTGCCCTAAGCCTGGCAGAAGGAAATACACTATGTGCTTTGCAATCTGCAGAGTCCCAGGGTCAAAATAGATCTGTTTTCATGACCAAAATGATAGTGGAAACCTCCTTTGAGCACATCCAGCAAGCTCCCAAAGAAGCCTGCTTCAGTTTTTGCAAGTGTCTTTAAAAAACATACACTTTGACACTTGTGAGCCCTCTGGCCAATAATAGATGAAAGTGAAAAGTAATGAAGGAAGGAAATCCAGCATTGCAAAATTTAAAATAAAAAAGCAAGAAGTACAAATTACTTTAGGGCACATTTTTGCTTTGTAAATTTGAGACTCAAGAATGCTAGCCGCCCTACAATAGTCGTATCTAGGAAAATCAAGATTAAAACAGGAAGCCGTTTGTGCATAAACTGCTACGGCAGGAAACTGATTAGTTCAGCAAAGAGGCAGGATGCTTCTTGTCTCTACTGTTGTTTAGTTCTGTATCTCCTCCATGGGCCAACAGCTCTGAGGTAAAGGACTGTAAAGCTGCCTCGTAAAAGCAGACTGAAGTACAATGAATAATGAATGCAGGACTAATACAAAAAGCACTGCCGGATGTTGCTGAAATCAGTCAGCAGAGTTGAGAGGAAAAGGCAGTCTAGTAATAGTACGTAAAACAATACTGTGATCTATGGAATGCAAAGTTCTAAATGATGTGCTGCTAATAAAAGGGACACTATCAAAATAAGTAGTAGGCATGCTTTGAAAAAGTGCTCTTCAGGATAATCTTTTCTATGAAGCCTGAAGAATCCAAATGGGATTGCTTAAAATCTGCCAATATTTATCACTCAACATTCCACCCTGTGGTTGGCAGAATTACAGCCCCACAATGATGTCCACACTCCAATTCCCTGGAACTGTGACTAAATTGCCTTACAAGGTAAAAGGAACTTTGCAGATGCGATTAAGGTTAAAGACCTTGAGATGGGAGATTATCCTGGATTATCCTAGTGTCCAACCTAATCACATGGTTCCTTAACATTGGAGGTGCCGCACGTCCCAGCTGGGTTGAGAGAGAGGGAGCCGTGACTACAGAAGAGATGCATCGTTGCTGGCTTTGAAGATGGCGGAGGGGGACCCCTAATCAATGAATGTAGATAGCCTCTAAAAGCTGGAAAAGGCGAGGGAACAGACTGTCCTCTGGAGCACTAAGGGAGGAATGTACCCATGCTGATACCTTTTAGCCCAGAGAGACCCGTGCTGGATCTGTGATTACATCGTGGTTAGGTAACAAATACGCATTGTTTTAAGCTAAGTCACCCAATGTGAGGCAATTTAATACAGCAGCAGTAGAAGACTATTTTACTCCCAGATTCTGTCAGAGGTTTTACTCACTCATGGAACATGATACAAACAAAAACCAACTGGCATAACCTCAAAAGTGACTGTCTAACGAATCCCCTAACATTTGCACATGACTTATTTCTAAACTGCTTTTCTGAGAAGCAAACAGAGAAGTTCTGAAATAGTAGATCTTTCAAAGAGGTAATGAAAGGTTCAATACGCACTTTAAAAAAACACCTGACAACCCGGCCTGCGTGGCTCAGTGGTTGAGCATCAACCTATGAACCAGGAGGTCACAGTTCAATTCCCGCTCAGGGCACATGCCCGGGTTATAGGCTTGATCCCCAGTGTGGGCTGTGTGGGAGGCAACCAGTCAGTGATTTTCTCTCATCCTTGATGTTTCTACCTCGCTCTTCATCTCTAAAATCAATAAAGATATATTAAAAAAAAAAAAACCTGACAGATGATCAACTTCTTCTAATAAATCCAGTAGAAAATACCATTCAATTTCCTTGAAATTCTTTTGTGCTTAGTACAAAAGCCTTTATCTCTATGACCTCCTCTACCTTCCTCTTCCCTTCTTCCTCCACACCTGATTTTGAAATATTTTTGAGATGAAGTTTTACAATAAATATTTATTGGCATGCATGTTTCCTAGAAGTTATTAGTGATAAAAATGATTGATGTTCAATTTGCTAATTGAAACTTTGCTGTTGGTGAACAATGTAGTGTTGATTCACCTTCCAAGCCTTATTTATATCTCACTGGTTAAATAAGGAGTAGCTAAAAATCCTTCTTACTCACCACTTTGCAGCAAAGAGGCCAAAACCACCACATCAAGCCGATGCCCAAGAGCAGCAGTAACACCAGGATGGCAATGATGGCTGCGATCCCATTAGACTGGAGGAGGAAGAAAACAAAAGCAAGATGGTCAGCGAAGCTAATGGTCAAGTCCTTGTGGACGAAAGGGGGCCACATTCTAAGCTCTGGGGAGGCCTGTGTGATGAGCCTTGCAAACTCAGAGACTGAGAGTAACCACATAGGATGGTCTGAACATAAAAATCCTAAGTAAAACTAGGTCAAGGCCGGCAGTCATGTCCTAGGACTGCACCTTCCTGGACAAAGGCCAACCTTTATCTGAAGGGAGCCTGCCTATTTTTATTAACTATCGTGTGTCTCTGTTTTATCCTGTCCCAGAGATGTCCCTGTTTTGCTTTCTCCTGCCCCCTTAATCTACCAACAATGGATTTCGTGTAACGGTCCTTAGGTCTCCTCCTTTGATACTTTTTTGTTTGTTGTGGCATTTTTGTTTGTTTGTGTGAAAAATTCTAGTGAATGTCCATCCCCCCCCTCTTTTTTTAGAGAGAGAGGAAGGGGGAGAAATTCCTCACATTGATGTTTCTCAATATCTTTCTCTCCCTTCCTCTCTCTCTAAAAATCAATAAAAGCATATCCTCAGGTGAGGATTAAAAAAAATTCTCAACAGGTATGAATGATTCTTATGTCTATACCCGATACACATTTTTTTAAGGAAACACCAGAAACCAATAAAGGAAGCATAATAATCTCAAACCAGATTTCTATTCCTTTAAATTCTTTAAAGTATATAAATTGCTTTATATTCTATTTCATATATGTTATTATAAGGCAAGTAATAATAAGTATAAAATCTTCCAAAGTGCTAGCAATTGTTTTAAATTATGCCTTAAAGGAATGTAAAAAAGAATCAGTATTTGGGTTACAGGAATGGTCCCTGTGATCCTTATCTTTTGTCTCTGGGAAAGGACTGTTACAATCATGATTACCTCTAGGCAGAATTTATGCAGAATTTCCCCAGACTTTTTGAGGTTGTAATACTATTTACTTTATATATTTAATGATAGAAGAGATGAATATCAAAAATCACCAAGGTGAAAAGTTAACAACAGCGGTTCTTGTTGGCAAATGGTATACATGCACCAATGCAAGAATGCAATCTCGTACATTCATGTATCAGACAATCTCTCACGGCAGCTCGAACGCTCTCCCCACAAAAGCCACAGCAGTGTTCTTTTACTTTCTAGTGTAGAGTTCCTCCAGCCAAAGGCCCTTCGCTGGGCTCTGCCTCTAACCCCCTTCCTCTAGCAACCACCTGTTCATCCTACAAGCGTAACTGCAGTCACGACCCCAGGAAGCCTTTGCTGTGAACTTTAGGAAGCAGGGCTAGGTCCAGCCCACTGACCAGTGGCTACCCCATGTTAGGCTACTTACGGAGAGAATGGCCTCCAAAGAAATAAGATTGCAAAATCCACAAACACAGAGAAGAATGCTGACTGAATTTCTAGTGTAAAGCTACAGTTTCCAAGGGGGCAAGGTGTCTCTACCTAACCCATTCTGTGGGATCCCCAGTAACAATGTTTCATTTTGTTTTTTAAGGGAAAGAACTCAGGGAAGAAAAAGAATAAATCAATACACTGTCTGGATGAAAACATTATAAGGCACTTCATAAGGCAGATTTTCAGAGATACATCTTCTGGTATTCCAAACAAATCAGTAGAAGCTCAGAAGTCAGGGTGAGAGCCACATTTATCCCAACAGCTGATAGACCAAGAGGTTGGGGGTGGGGCAGAGGACTTACTAGTATGGGTCTTAGAATGGCATTGTATTAAAGGTACTGAAAAATAGAGGGCCAGAGAAATTAAACAGTTTGCTTAAAATTAGACCATCATACTAATCCATCAAATAAGAAAGCCAGTTGTTCCTGAAGCAACAAACTCTGTGGAAAAGTCAGACTATTATATCTCTCTCAGAAAATTACTTTGCCCATTAACATGTTTAAAGCTCTGGTTTTGTAGAAAAAAAAAAAAGTCCAATTTAATATCGGCACAGAAGCCTTTGTTTTTTCTCATAACATTTTCACTAACCTACAGGTCCAGGAATTCCTAGAATCCACTTTGGAAAATGTTAGCATTGATCAAATAGAGACTTTCTGATGTTTAAGCGAGAATGGTAGTAGCATTTAATCAGAACATTTTATAATGAAATTGGAAGTGTAATACATAGTGACCTATGCACAAAAGGAGATAATAATCTTTATGTAAACAGTTATTTGCAAATAACTGGAAAAAAAGAAGAAAAGGTAGTTTTCAAAAGTATTAGCAAGGAAGTGCTAGTATTTTACTTGGTTAATCTGAAAAATCTTGAAATGTGTCATTTCCTGATCACCTGGTAATATTACAGAGAAATGCAAAGCAAACAAGATTCTAGATAGTGGCTTGGAAACCGTTCCAAAACAAATCAATTTTCAAAGATATTTATTATTAGCATGCTTTCAGTTTCAATAAATTCATTACAAAATAACTTTTAAAACAATTCTCAGGGGAGCTGGGTGAAAAACATGAAAGGGTTAAGAAATACAAATTGGTAGCTACAAAACAGTCACAGAGATGTAAAATACAGCATAGGGAATATAGTCAATAATATTGTAATAGTTATGTATGGGACCAGGTGGGTACTGGAAAATCAGGGGGAACACTTTGTAAAGAATATGATTGTCTAATCACTATCCTGTATATTGAAACTAATATAAAATAATGTATAATGTAAACTGAAATTAAAAAATAATTTTTAAAATAAATAATTCTCAGGGCAGCATAGACCATAAAACATTAACTAACTTCAGAAATTTTCAGAAAAAGATTTAGAATCAAGTACACATGAACATTTAAAGCTGTCATTTGTTTTCTAGTTTTTTTTATCTGGATGGAAGAGGGAATAACCATGGAAGCTACTTCTGTAACTAATATTAGGTTACAAATAAACCAAAACAGACACCACCAAAGTATCACTTAGAATCCTTGATCATTTCATTTGATTTCTCTTTCAGAAAACAAAAATAACTAGAAAACGTCACACCCACACTATCTTCACAGAGCTTTTCCATCTACTATCAAACCATTCTTAAGGCACTCAAAAATGTTCTTACATGATATTTACCATAAAAAATAATTTAGCATCTATACTAATAAAAGAATAATATGCTAATTAGACCGGGAGATCTTCCGGAGAACTTCCAGACATCCTTCTGGACAAAGCTAGGGGCTTGGCTGGCCTACAAACCACCCCCAAACGGCCCTCAGCCCCTCACCCAGGCTGGTCACGCCCCCCCAGTGGGGACCCTCACTCTGATGGGGGAGTGGCCAGCCCACAAACGGCCATCAGCCCCTCGCCCAGGCTGGCCATGCACCCCAGCAGAGACCCCCCACCCTGAAGGTGGTGTGGACAGCCTGAAAACGGCCATCAGCCCCTTGCCCAGGCTGGCCCCGCCCCCCCAAGGGGATCCCCACCCTGATCCGGGACCCCTTTCAGGGCAGACCAGTCAGCCCCCACCCGTGCACCAGGCCTCTATCTATATTAATAAAAGGGTAATATGCTAATTAGACCGGGATACCTTCCAGACAAAGCCATGGAGGCAGAGCCAAGGCAGAGGGGATTAGGGGTGATCAGGCCAGGAGGGGGGGGCCAGTTGGGGGCGATCAGGCTGGCGGGGGGGGGGAAGTTGGGGGTGAGCAGGCCGGCAGGGTGGGGGCAGTTGGAGGTGAGCAGGCCAGCAAGGGGGGGCAGTTGGGGGTGAGAAGACTGGCGGGGGGGCAGTTGGGGGTGAGCAGGCTGGCAGGCGGAGTGTTAGGGGCAATCAGGCAGGCAGGCAGGTGAGCGGTTAGGAGCCAGCAGTCCCTGATTGCAAGAGGGACATCCCCCGAGGGGTCCCAGATTGGAGAGGGTGCAGGCCGGGCTGAGGGACACCCCCCATGCACGCATTTCGTGCACCGGGCCACTAGTAATAAATAAAAAGGCATCTATGCATCTAGCAATTTATTCATCTAGAGTTAGGAAGACTGGAAATATAAGCTCCACATTTGGCCATTGATGTATCCTAAACATCTAAATAAGCATCTTCACATAGAAAGAGGTGTGTGGCAGGGGGTGGGGTAGGAGGGAGATAAGTACGTTATAGAAATTTTCCAGGCAAATATTGAAGTTCTCTTAAAACCAAAGAAAATAATTCAAATATACATCAGGCTACTTAGGAAAATACTCAAAGTGCATCTTTATACACAGAATTCTAAACATTCATGAAAAATCATGCAACTCTTCACAGGTTTGATTATGCTCAGCTTTAAAATCTAAGCAAACAGAAAAACAATGTCAGAGAAATACATAAAAACTGGGGTATCCTATGGAAGAAATGCTGTCAAATGTATAAATCCATGATCCCACCTTCAAATCTAAGGGCTTGTATAAGGTACATCCAGTCTGGGACTGCTCGTGTACGGTATGAGTCTGGCATGAGACCTCTCCTGCACGAGGGAGCCGGAGCACTCACGGAAGTTGCTCATTGGCTGTGCTATATAGCTTTCAAAAGGGTTCTCTGAACATCTGGCTTCCTTTCTTAGAATTCAAACCTTGTGTTCAGAAATGAGGATATGGACCTGCTAAAAGTTTAGTGGTTAGTTTTTTTCTATGAATGTGTTATGAGTAGGAAATTCAGAAAATGATGCTGACAGAATTGGAAGTAGATGGGCTGGGCATGATAGGCAATTAAAATTCTTGATTTTCCCTAAAAATAAATGTCCCTATTAGGAACAATTGACCAAACACTATGCATGTCTAGATGCAATATACATTTAGTATGACAGTATTATCTCAACTGATTCCAAAGATTTGTCTACACTAAATTAAAACAAAAATACACACCTTCTAAAGACCTACAGACCTATTCTTTTTTTCATATTTAAGCTAAGCATGATAGAACATAGGTCAGAGGAAGCACAGAATTTCAGACAACCTGAACTTGCTGTAAATGTATGAAACCCAGCTCTGGATGCCTGGTCCCAGACAGTAGCTCAGTTAACTGTATACAAGTTCAGACGTTCCCAGTTCCTTTGTTTTGATTTCCCAGAGCCACTATCAGTGCATAAAAGACTTCAATCATGAAAGGGAAATCATTTCATTGTTCACATACTTTATAAACAAATTAAGGAGAGGTCAAATACATAGACTTCAGTCCTATGAGCAGATAACATGCTGCAAACTGAAGACTTAGAGTCAAATGGAACTAGATATGCTAACACAGATTTGTATCATACGCAGAACCTAAATGCTTCTCACTTCTGGTTGGGCCTGCTTCTGTTTCAATGGTACATGGTTAAACAGGTACCAAAGTTACAAAGTTAGACAAGTCTTCATGAAGCCCACAGGTTAGTTTAAGAGACAGACCTTGAAAAAATCATTACAAATGTGAGTAGTATATAAGGAAACTACGACAGAAACATGTCAAACTGGGAGCTAACTTGGTCTAAGGTTCTGAGAGGACCTCCTTGAGGAATCATAAGAAAGCCCAGGGAGGGAGTGGGGGCAGAATTAGTGGATTTTTGCAAAAACAAGAAAAAGACAACTTTGGCTAAAGCACAGAGTTTGAGGGACCTGCTAGCACCTGAAAAAGCTGAAGAAGAGATAGGAAACACAAATTTCTAAAAAGTAGTAATTCCTTTTATTACAGAAGGAATTGGTCACTTGTTGAATGACCTTTCAATTGGCCATTTGTTAGAACAATTCTTTCTAACTATAGTTTTGAACAAGTAGCATTTTCAGATATCTGAAAAGATTAGGGTATACAAGTTAACTGAGCAGTCCAGTCAGCAACTTAGTACCCAGATGTTGGTCAAGGCCATGAGGCCAAAATTCTTTTACTGGTTAACTAGAGCTATATCAGGATATTGAACTTGATCTTAGGGTAGAAGAAATAGATTTTCTTGTCATCCTCGATACATTATGTTTTTTATCTTTCTCTGCATCTAATTTCCTTTACTTCATTAAAAGCATGTTATAATGTACAGTCAAAAACTTTGCCAAATATAACTGAAGCTAAGAGAATCACAGAAATATAAAAACAAACCAGAGTCACTACCACACTTCCAAAATAACTATGGGAAAGAGGAATCAGTCAAAAATTTGAAAATTCCATGAATAGTTTTAATCTCTCTAGAAAATAATCACAGCAACCTTATTAAAAGTAAAACAGACACAGAAAGGGGGAAATGGGTCTCCACAATTTTGTTTCCATGAATTTAGAGTTGGGGGTGGGGAGGGTCATAGAGTAGGTGATAATTTCATTTACTGGGTTCTTTTGGAATATTCCATATTAGGAATTAGCAAACTGTGACCCAAAGGTTAAATCAACTCATCTATTTCATAAGATCTCTGGCAAACTAAGAAATTTTTTTACATGATTACATAGCTGAAAAAATCAAAAGAAGAGTGTTTCATGAAATTCAAATTTCAATGTGCGTATTTGTGTTGAACACAGCAGTGCCCATTTGTTTACAGAAGTCTATAGCTGCTTTTGCACAACATGGCAGAGTTGAGTAGAAGTGACAAAAACAGTACAGCCCCAAAGCCTGAAATGCTAACTACCTGACTTTTTTTAATATATATTTTTTATTGATTTTTTACAGAAAGGAAGGGAGAGAGATAGAGAGTTAGAAATATCAATGAGAGAGAAACATCAATCAGCTGCCTCCTGCACACCCCCTACTGGGGATGTGCCCTCAATCAAGGTACATACCCTTGACCAGAATCGAACCTGGGACCCTTCAGTCTGCAGGCTGATGCTCTAGCCACTGAGCCAAACCGGTTAGGGCACTACCTGACTTTTTACTCACACACACAGACACACACACACACACACACACACATACACACATTACCAACCTGTTTTATAAAAATCCATTTGGGACCTTGCTACAAATGGCAGGTTGTGCAGGTGTTCAGCCTGAGAGCAAGACAGACTTGGGTTCAAATCTCACTTCTAGCCTTTACTCAATTGGGAAACTGAACAAGTAATTTAATCTCCAGAGCCCTTAGGTCCCAAGTCCGCCCTCTCTCAGCACAGTGGGGGCTGAAATCAGCACATGTTCTGCGCATCAAACCATGTACCCCTGCTGAGGGTCGGGTCCACCTAACAGAAAAAGTACCTTCTAACATGTTGACATAAATGTGCACTAACAGTTGAAGGTGGCTCTCTGTTCCTCAGTTTTCTCATCTGTAAAATTAAAGTAATAACCAATCGCCTCTTCTTGAATTTTGAGTATCACATGAAGTCATAAAGGGATTAACTCATATAGAGTGCTGAGCACAGTGTCTTGCATTTAATACATGCTCAGAAAACGCATTCTGGGTATTATTATTCTAAGTGATTCAGAAGAAGAGCAGTGATTCCAAGGAGGATAGGAGGGAAGTGAGAGGTCAAGACACCTTTAACTGTATTTTTTCAAACAGAGACACATTTAGGAGATCTTCTGAGATAGAAGAGAAATGACTGCCCAAATACCCTCCTCAGGCACTAATCTTAAATGTCTTTCATCTAAACCTTAGATTTCCCACATTTAAACTAGATATACAGCTACTTTCATTCATTGGTTGAACAAATAATTTTGGAGAATGAGTTCTGTGCAAGGGAGGGGGCAACAAGCAAGGCACAAGCCCTGCCATCAACATCTCAAGACCGCTGAGAAAGGCCAGACGTAAACAGGAAATGACAGTTCAGTGACCTAAGTGCCTTAACAGGATTAAGCCCGGATGTTCTTGGAGTGCAGAGAGAGGCGTCTGTATTTGTGGGGTTGCCACAAAAACTAATCGTTGCTAAAGTAATGGTGTTTTCTTCTGTTTGGTTTTCAAATGCCTGTAAAACCCAAAGTATCACCTTATAATGAGTAACATCACTAAGTGCATCTCACCTAATTATCACATCTGAATATGCCAGAAAGACTGTATCTCAATTAAATACAATGCCCGGGTATTTTTCATAATATTACCCACTGTCCTCTTGCAAAAATTACTCAACCTGAAGACAACTCACCCTAGTTGCTCAGATGAAAAAGCTTGAAACTATTCTTAATGTATTGCTCTCACACCCACATCTAATCTGTCCATTCCATGGGTACCATCTTTAAAAATATATTTAAATTCAATCCAACAACTTCTCACCATCTCCATTGCTATCTCCATAGTGTAGCCACACTCCCTTTGCCTAGAATTGAATTAGGGAAACAGCCACAGAATCGGTCTCCATGTTTCCACTTTGGACCCTCCCTGCAAAGTATATTTTTACGTAAGAGCTGGAATGATCCTTTTAAAAACATTGTCATAAGAGTCACCTTTCAAGGCTCCCTGTTTCACTCAGAAGAAAAACTCAAGTCTTTACAATGACTTACAAAACCTGTCTCCTTCCCTCCACTCCCTCCTACTCATCTCAAGACTCCTGCTTCCCGCAACTGCCTCCCCTCCAGAAAACTAACCACCTCGCTCTTCTTTAACTTGCCAGACCCAGTCCCACTGCAGGCTTTGTTCAGCTGCTCCCTCTGCATGAAACACTCCTCCCTTGAGTGATTTTCAAGGCTCACTCCCTCACCTTCCTTAAGTATTTTCTCAACTCTCTTTTCCATGAAAATTGCTTTGATCCTTTATTTAATATTACAGCTTCTCCCTTCACTCTCCATCTATGACACAGCCAATATCCCTTTTTCTGATATCACCTCACTCTTTCTTTTTCACCTCACTCTTAAACCACTTTAAGTCACGTTGTGTTTTCCTGAGAACTAGCAAGATGTAGAAAGACTGCCTTAAGTCATCTAACTTATAAATGCCAGATGAGTCATTTAGCCTCAGCATCCATGCACACTGCAATCATGCTGGTTACAGGATACAGAAAAGATTTGTTTTCCTGCTTGTGCGAAAAGAGGTGAAAAAAGAGGGCTGGAGGTGCAGAATAGGAAGGAGGATGGAGAAAGAACGTCATTTCAGTGAGCTTAACAGTGAGCTATACCACAAGTGTTTGTAATCTCAACCACATCCGGAGGGAACAGAAAACTTACAGATTGCAACATCCACCAAACCTACAAATTACAACATGAATTATAGGTAAAAGGGGGAATAAAACTAGCTATTTTCAAAATAGAAACAGGTACTGATAGAGCTATCCTTAGGGTATTCATAGCGACCAAGGGCCCATATGCATGCTTGTTTTCCCTTTTGCTTTAATTTACATGTTTTTAGGAAGAAAATATACTTGTAAAAATAATAGCCATGTGATCAGTCCATTTTTGTGTTCTTTTTTCATGTACAACAATCTAATATAAAAATTTTCTATAAACCCCAAAATTTAACTACAAAGAAAACACTATCTTATCAAGGGAGCTTACATTTCAAAACATTGCATCTTAGGTAATATAAACCAACATCTCAACTAAATTATAGCTTCAAACTGAGATATTATCAAGCTATCAAAATCAAATTCCTTAATCATATGAGAAAGCGCCAACAGTTAAATGGATAAAACAATAGCTCATTCATTAAGATGCACAAATAATTTCCAAAACAGGATAAATGTCATAGATGCTATAATGCAACCTTCATTACAAAAAAGCATTCTGTTCATGTGTTTAATATTTCAAGAAGAAATGCTTCATTTGGAAATCATTCTCATAGCTTATTTTTATTTTAAATGACTTGAATTTTATAAATATCAAAATAAAATGTATACTATCTGAAAATTCCCTTTAAACACAGCCACAGGGGAAAAAATAACTTAAACTCTATACAAATTTTTCCTTGTAATGATCTCATTTATTACAGATACCTTCTTTACTATAGTATGCTCAACACTGAGGACCCGGAAGTTACTTCTGGATAGAACTATCTTTAAAAGGCAACTTTATGCAAACTTTGTACTTACACATTCTGTGGCTGTGACTACTAATGAGCTCGAGATAACAGATTTTCCTCCGTTAAAGCTCACTGAAACATCAAGAGTTCTGAAATAAAATGAAGAAACAAAAATTAAAAATAAATTTAAAACTAGAATATTATGGGATATTTTTACTTCCTCACATAATTCAAAACTGACCGGAAAGTCTACTTTAAAAGTCCACGCTTCAATCAGCTATTCCAGCTTTTTTCTTTCTTAGTGCCAGTTCCTACTGGACTAGCCAGAGGCAAATTCTGTAAGTGATCTAATTGTTCCTAAAAGTATTAACATAAGCAGAAACATTCAGAAATCCCTGTTATTTTTTACAATAATCCTCTCCTTATCTGAATCTTTACTTAGATAAGTCTATAGTCAACTGTGGTCTGAAAATATTAAATGGGGAATTCCAGAAATAAAAAAAAAATTGGTAAATCTTAAATTGTATGTTGTTTTGAGTAGCATGATGAATTTCTCACCATCCTGCTCTGTCATCCCTCTGCCCAGCTAATCCACGCTGTAAGTGCTCCCCGCCCTTTAGTCACTCTGCCCTCTCCATTATCAGATTGACTATCAATGTATCTCAGTGCTCGTGTTCAAGTAACCCTTACTTTATATAACAATGGCCCCAAAGTGCAAAAGTAGTGTTTCAGATATGCCAAAAGAGAAGTGGTAAAGTGCTCCCTTTAAGTGAAAGGTATGTATATAGAGGAAAAACAGATTATATATAGTGTTTTGGTACTATCCCTGGTTTTAGGCATCCACTGGGAATCTTGGAATGTATTCCCCATGGATAAGGAGAAACTACTGTGGTTTAAATAAATTAGAAAAAAATTCCTTAATCTGTAAAAATGATGAGATTTTTTTCAGGTTCAAAAAATCTAAAAAGAGATAAAATACCCTTAATTCCCATTTAGCTTATTTTCTCCATCTCTAAACATTACTATCATCACAAGATTCATTAAAGCAAATGTACGAGGTAACATTTTGTTAATCTGGCTCCTATAAAGTGCTATGCTCCAATCCTCATAAAATATTCTAAATTCCAAAAAATAATAGCCAGAAACTATGCCTTAATTACTCTGAATTAGTAGAATTTTGCTAGATTTAAAAGATTTCTTCTCTACACCTTGAATCGAGTGCCAAATATGTTAGTTAAGAGAGGTAGGATTAAACAGAATAAAGATGCCGGAGAGGAGAGATGGGAGGTATTATTTAGTGCCCGCTATGTGCCAGATGCTATCATGGACACTTTACAGACATCACCTCATTTAATCCTTACAATAACTCTTCAAGTAAGAAGTAGTTCCATAGTTCACAGATGGGGTACATGAGGCCCAGAAATGTTCATTACCTTGCTGAAAGTGGTAAAACTAGGACTCTAACAAATTTTGAACTCTTTCCATCATACTACACATGCTTGATGAAATAAAAGTTCCTAATGTGTTTCTTTTCTCAATGTGAACTTAGTATGGATTTGTACAGAGAGAGAACCACCAGGAAAGTGACTAGTAGCAAACTTCTTCAAAATTCAGGAATACTCCTATTAATAATATTTCTTGTAAAATATTCTCTTCAAAACATTTTGTGTTTAAAACAAAGCTTAGTTAAGTCCACAAGAGAATGAGAACTTAGGGTGTTTTTATCAACTTAAGTGAACTTCTGAACTATTCCAACGTAGAATGCCAAGTGTCTTACTTAAAAAAGAAAACTTAAACCTAATTGCTTATTCTGCAAAACTGAATGCCATGTTTTATTTTGTTGAAGACTAAGCACAGTTGAATCCAAAAATAATATTTCCTAGTTCTTAATTCCTCTACTTTAAAGCACATACCAGGAAGCATGTGACATGACATGGCTTTAGTTTGGGGGAAGATTATTTGATTTATAATAAAGTATGATTATTGCAGGTAATCTTATTGAGTCAGTTTTCAAGGGATCTGCAGAACAGTTTTTGTTTTACAGAAAGTTCACTCTTTCCTATGGTAGAGATGCATGCTGATGAGATTTTGTAGGCAACCAAAATAACTACACATTATCCTCTAAAACTCAGTCTAGTATAATGTGGCTGCTGTCAAATAAAACTGATCTAAGACTCCACAGACCTGGAGGCCTGGCTGGTGTTGCACAGTGGGTTGGGACATAGTCCTGTATACCAAAAGCTTTCCAGTTAGACTTTTGATCTGGGCATGTATAAAAGGTGACCAATCAATGTTCTCCCTCACTTCTCTTTCTCTCTCTCTCTCTCCCTGCTGCCCTCTAAAATCAATAAGCATATCCTCAGATGAGTGTTAAAGAAAAAAAGACTCTGCATACATGGATAGCTACCTGGTGAATCTTTTGACATGTGGACTCAATTGAAAAAATATAATCCTCACCTTCTTGATCAAGCATTGCTGTCAACAGCAGTATTAATGATTATGGCATTTATCAATCCTAACTATAAGCCATATTAAATTTACCTTCTCATTTAATTCTCACAGTAAGCCAATGAGGTAGGAAGTAGTATTATCTCAATTTTCCAAATAAGTAACCTGAAGCTTAAAAGGTAACTTGCCCAAATATTGGACTTCTCTGACTCTGTAGTCACTTCTACCACAAACTACCTTAATCCTCGGTAAGTATTTTAGGGTTTTATATTTAAATCTCTCCCACGAACAAGGGCTTAGTATCACTCCTTTAATATTTCTTATGTATAACTATAATAACATTTACTACATGCTGAGATATTTATTTGTGAACACACACACACACACACACACACACACACACACATATGCTTGCTGGGAAAAGACCTTTGTCTAAAACTATGCTACTTGCTTACTACACTCATTGATAAAACCATCTTACCCTCTAACCAAACTCAATACCTTGATTTTCTTCACCCCAAGGCTCCAGTATATGTGTTTAAAGTTTTCTGTAATTTTTCATGTTACTTCTGTTAGTATATATGGATTTCTCATCCCTATTGCTATATAACTTCTATATAATCAAGACAGTAAACCCATACTCTCAGTTATAGAGCTTTTATTACAAACAAAAATATATTAAAGCTATGTCATTTTTACTTAATTACACACAGGGTGGGGCAACAGTAGCAATGTTGAGCTGTGTGTTAAACCTAAAACCTAAAACTGCCTTCCCAATTAGTTTATGAATATTTTCCAATAAGCTTATTTAATCAACCACTCAATCATTCTATTACTAGTTAATTAAATATATATTCATAAATTACCTGCAATAGGCCAACCTAGGCTGTGCTTGGTAGTAGGGCTGCAGTAACCAATAAAGAAAACACACACACAGCATTACAATGTAACTGAAAGGAAGTCATATAAGCAATTACAATATGAGTGTGATATTAACTAAAATAGATATATGCACAGGGGTTCCAGAGAATGAGGTGGGAGACACAACTGATTCAGCCTTGCCATGGGCATCAACAAAGGTTTCCTGCAGGAATTCACCTCTGAGATGAATCCTAAAGAATGATCAGAAGTTAGGAAAAGAGATTAGAAGGGGATTCAAGAAGATGGAGCACTATTTGACAGGCTGGAAGGCAAGAAAGGCAAAGAACAGTCAAGGAACTGAAAGCCGTTAAATATACAGCAACCCAGAGTGTGAGAGTGAGAATATATGTCTTCAGGCTAAAAGGGGAATATGGGGGGAAATCCAGGATGCCATATTTAGACATGTGGAGTTAGTCTTAAGAGTTTTTAAACTAGGTAGAAATATGGTCAAAATTGTGTTTTACAAATATCACTCTTGTTGCAATGTAGAGCATGGCTTGGAAGAGTAAATTTCTACAGTAGAAAGACCAGTTAAGAGTATCTTACTGTGTTTCACATAAGAATCAAAGTAGAACTGAAAATAGTGGCAACGAGGGTGGTGTGAAAATAAAAACTGAGAGACACTTAGGACTTAGAATAAACAGACTTGGACACTTATTGGTTGTAGGTGAGGAAGAAGGAATAAAGATGACTTCATAGGTTCCATCTTGTACAAGTGGGTGGATAAACCTACACAGAAAACATAGGAAAAGAAGCAGGTTTGAACAGAAATACATGAGTTTAACTTGGGAACTTCAAGAGTAAGGTGACTATGGGAAATATAAGTGAGTTAGTAGACATCTGGATAGTGGACATTTGAATAGTGGGTTTTACGCTAAGGAAAAGATCTTGTCTGAAGATTTGAAGCTCATCAGCAAGAAAAGGAAGCAGAGAAGATGTGTTTGTGGATCAGAAATGCAATCATGGTGAAAACTGAGAGTTAAAGGACTGCAAGAAGAAGAGCCTGAGGTCACATCTGAGAAGAAACAGCCAGGCAGGTGAGAAAGTGAAGTTCATGAAATATAAGGAAGAACCTTTTGAGACAGGACCGGCCCATAGTACAGATAACACATGGTGGTCTGGGAAGATAGGCTGAGAACTAACAGCTCTTTCAAGTTCCTTTTCTATAAATTGGTTCTACATTGTTTAGAATTGCTTCTACTCTTTGCTCCATATTTAAAAAAATTTTCCCCAAGTAGATGGATAGAAGAAGCCCAAACAATCTAACATAACAAAAAGATTGTTTGAAGTGCATTTTAATATCAATTGGTACTCAATTAATTGTGATAAAACTAAATTTATTCCATTTGAGAAAATATTAAATAGTATTGTGATATGTAATTCATTAAATAAAATGTAAGAAGGCCTAATGGTCAAAGTGCTTTTATTTAATTTTTAAAGATGTATGACAATTCCAAAACAGGGGAATAGTTCAGTGCCATATGTCAGAGCTACTCTGATCTGAGAAATTTCATACTCCATGAAATATGATTGACATTTCAATCTATAGTAACCTATCTGCAAGGTATTCATTTGCTACTGACTTTATGAATATCCAATAAAAGACTGCCATTTTATGATCCATTAAAAATGGTGAAAAAATTTAATAAAATTGTGAAAGACATTTGCTGGAAGTAATAAATAATTTACCTCCAATTTGCACATACTGAAAATTAAACTGGCAACTACTCAGAAAGTTATTAAAATTAAGGTGACTTAAGATATTTTGAAATTAAGTGCT